TTCACAAAATATCGTGACAAAATGTCGTAAAATCTGATACTATAATGCAAGAAAAATGCCGTATTTCACTAACAAACCTCTCATCTTTTCATCGGTTTCCTCCCAACTTTCAGATTCACTGACACCAGAAACGATTTTGCACGAAAGTTCGTCAGTTGCATGTCCAGCCGTATCCTTACCAAGCTCTCTGAAACAATTTAATATTCATAATTTTAAAAAGCTATCACTGTATATGTAAAAGAAATGTATTATATAACATGTATGCAGTTTGTGATATTCGGTTATTTTATGGTTCACGCAGGAATGAGCAATTTAGCTACCTTTCATCGACTTCCATAATTTCTATCCGTTCTCCCATTCCGTCGCCACCACACTTTTGTTGCACTTGGCTTGTACTGAAAATACAATTAACATAGAAAACATACACAATGTAAGTGCAGTTCTCAATTTGGGAATTGGGAACTTGATTTTCATTTACCTAGCCGATTTAAGCATTTTGTACGCCTGTAGCGCAGATTTAGCAAGAGGGAATCTTCTCTAATAGCGTCATTTGCTAAGGTCTTTTCGCCCTTGTCGCTGTGAGTTTTAAATGGTTGCTAGAGAGGACTTGTTCCTCTAGCAAGCCAAAATTTGCGTTTGCCTTGCCTAAAACAAAGTAAGCAAAGCCCATTGGGGTTTTCTCGTGTCCACTCTTTGCTCGCTTTGCTTCTGGTCCTGTTTTCTGCTGCTTGCTATGTCTTTTAAACATGTTGGCAAACTGAAACTCTATAACACACAATTTTATGGTTACAAATGTGTCGATAGCCAATCTTGGTTGTTTACTATTGTTTTTATAAAACCCACTGACAATGTCATGCCACTTTTCTTTGTGACGCAAACACGATCACTCTTACACGACTAACATTCTAACACTAGATAATTGTTCTGTTACCTTCCTTAGACAGTGTTTGCTGCTTATTTTTAGCCACTGCTGCTGTCTCAGTTTTGCACAGCCACTACACAAGACCTGGGCACCAAAACCTTCATCATCACCTGCTGATGTTGAGCAAGGCGGAATTGCGTGGCACGTTTTTTTGCAAACTTTGCAAAAATGGCTTCCAAATTCCTTCTTGCATGAAACGCAAACTAGTAATTAGGCAACAACAATGAAAACATAAGTTAAGATAATGTAATGAACGTTTTTTTGGTATCAAAGGCAAGCAGCACTAGTTTTAGCAACACACAAATGTTGGTTTGGTACTCTTAGTGAGAAGTGAATATTGTCGAGGAATCACCGAATCAGCTCCTGCAATCAACCAATGGCTGATATATATTGTGTATATTATTGTTAGGAAAATTTTCGGCTATTGTAACGCGTGAATTTACCTGATTTAACTGCTTGAATCTCAGCCATCTAGTAAAAATAAATAAACAATTAGATAAAAAGGTTTTTCAAAAATCTCGCTTTATCACCAAACAATAGCGAGCTAAGCCCTGTTAGTTCGTTAGCAAACCGGTTTTAATTATAAATTGCTTCATTTATCAATATGTTTTATGTAAGGATTGTGAATTTTATTTGCCTTAAATGTATTAAAACATGCTTTGTAGTTTGTAATACAAGAAATCCTTTCGTACCACTACTTTTAGGTTACACAAAAAACATAACTGTTAAATAATAACTTGTTTCCCGGGCGTTTAGTGTTAGAAGCGTTAATGCTTTCAGAATTTTTATCATTTGTAATTTTGTATCAGTACTTTTGATTTTACTAAACCATTACGTGTACTCACCTTACAAATTTGAACACCCCAAGTTGGTTTAATTAAATATCACGTATCACCGTAGAATACACCGAAGAATCGATATGGTTTGCCTTGAAGTCACTTAAAAGAGAAAGCTCGAAAACGAAAGCAAAGAATGTGTAGTTAATCTGCTCAGATATCATATTTCTAGTCATCAAACGCTTATTGGCTTACCAACCAATTAACGGAACTTGCCTGTCAAAACAGCTTGTAAGATTGACATTCAACAGGCAACAATTTTGTTCAACGGAAACAACAGCGCTGCAGCGCACATGTGCTGATATTGCGCAATAATTTCTCGCGCTGCGCGGCAAATTTCACAAATGCGCGGCGAACAAGAAATTTTTTAAAATCTGCGCGTCAGGACGCGCATTTCTCCCGAAATTGCGCAAGCTAGATCTAGGTTGCGCAAGACATACTTTCCAGTCTGGGTTCTGCTTCACTTACATTCATTTCCTTCCCTAAACAATGTTTGAAATCTAAATTGAATATCTCGTTTATGATTGTTGTATTTTATGGTTTGACAATAACTATGTTTAAATGCTTATCACGAATAATAAAGCAATTTTCGCACAAGTTTTAGAGTTGAACTGTAACTACAATGATCATTGTTCTTAGAAATATTTAAATGACAAACCATCTTTGTTCTACTTATAGATAGGTAAATAAAATAAAATTAATTCGAGTCGCCATCTAAGGATGTAAAATCTTATTCTTACCGTTATATTAGATGGAAGGAATATTCCTTGATATCATGATCATATATCGCCAGAAAAATATTTGTGGATGATAACATAAGAATTGCACAAACACACTTCCTAATTCAAGTTCAATATAAGGGATGGGCTACTACAGATTACTGAGTAATCAATATCGCTTGATACCAGGCTTCTAGCGAAATAATCCATACCTTATATGTCGATACCATAGAAGCATCGTAATATTTTCTATTACTCTACAAACACTGTAATGTTTAGCCAAAATTCATAGGTAAATTTGTCTTTGTACGTTTTATATAACGAAATTCATAGACAATAAACTCAATGGGGACATAGCTCTGTCCCCCGTTTTTCGTGTCCGCCGGGAAAGAGTTGACATTGATTTCTTGATAGATAGATAGATAGATGATTTATTTCTATTGTCTGGGAACTTGGAATCATCCCATAATGAATTTAATATGGCATTATAGAATGCTCAATGCGTATCCGCGTACCTTGTATTCCACAATTTAGCCAAACCAAAGAACTTTGATACAATAGTAGAGTGGCTAACAATATCGTTTCAAAATTAATGTGTTATACAATTTTACTCACCACATATGACCTAAACGTCTAATTCTTCATTTCAACACGTTGCATAACGTAGTCACCACAATATGATTCAGAAAAATATTTTCAATAGAAGATGCCAAAAAGTATTCGTGTCCGATCTTGAATGCATGACAAATTGCTTTTCTGAAATCCGAGACTGAAGATTAGCAGATAGAGTGGGTACATGAGTGGGTACAAAACACCGGTCGGCTTAACAATTTTTCAATTCAAAATGTCTTTACGCAACTATGGAAACATTTTGCTTTTGCAAAAGAATGCACGAAAATTGCAGTGAAAATGACATCCCTCTTGCACCTTCTCTAACCAAGGTTATGAAGGGTGTACACCCCTAGCTTTGCAACCCTCAGTAAATCCTTCCCTGTGATCATTTATGATTACTTGACAGTAGTTTCAGAATTCACTATTTACTTTAAACATAGATGCAGACCGACCTGTTCTTGACTAACTGCAAACCCTCAGAAAGGGTGCTGTTTGTAGCAAGTAGCCATTTCGATGTATAATATAATGACTCATTAATTTCGAATAGACATTAAATCTATGAGCTCCATTGAAAAGATTTACCTAAACTTTTATCCTTAAGTGCTCACATCAACATTCAAAGCTCTTCATTTAACCCTACGCCGAATACATTAGGGGTATTTCCTCATTATCTTTTAAATGTATTTGGCTCATGTAAAATGCGACGTATGAAACAGGCCCAAGTCTCGTTTACAGTTTTAATTTTATGCTTCGAACTTACGGCTATAGTTCACACACCAATTTAGCAAATTACTTTCGAACGACTTAAAATTATAGCGTTCAAATCAAAATTCAAAAATATTGTTGTTGGCTTCCAAAGTCGAAACACATGGCACATGCTGTAACCATGACGACAAATGTAAAATAATTTTTTTATATTATACAAATACTTTGGTGAAATGCGTCGTCAGATCTTAATGTAACTCACGACAATGACATAAGGCTACTTAGAATGTGAGAAGAAAATAATAGAAGAGCAAGTTCTTCGTATTAGAAAAAACTAATTTCTTGTACAAAGTCTAAGGCTACAGGCCCATTGGCAAAGCCAAAGCGAGGAGAAAAAAAGATAAAGCCCCTAAAGCCGTCGCTATATTGACATATTTATACCACACATTAATCGCCGACGCATGTCATTGATGATGTCACTGTCATTATACTTTAACATCCCCTCAGGCCCTGACTTACAAAGGTTTACAATGCTCTACGAAATTGTGATACATGATATTTTTCTTTTCCAAAGAGAATTCTTAGTTCAAGAAATATATGCTCTAGATGATTAGATGAGCAAATGATCAGAGGAGGCAAAATCATGAGAAAACTTTGAAAATTCAGATCTTTAAACGGCTGAAAATGACCATTTTATAGATGTTTCGTAGAGCAAGTAATATATGACCTTTTTTAAAGTCATTATATTACTTGCTCTACGAAACAGCAACATCTTAGAATTTTTTCAAAACATTTTTCCAAGAATTAAAATCCCAAAGGACCAAGGTGTTGATTACATAAGAAAGTTATCAAGGCCAGGAGAAGCAGAATGTGATTATATACGATGAATCCCCGATCTACTGTGCTTAGAAACAAAAAGAGGGACAAAAAATTTCGTTGAATATAACCAATTTACACATTGCCCATTGACCAATATGTTAAGCATACTTACGAATAAAGTTATTGTACAGTTACAATGCTTGATTTTTCCCAATGGTTATTGAACTTGTTACTTTTTGAATTTTTGAATATTACTTGCCCTATGTTAAGCAATAACCTTGACAATTCCAATAACTTATTGACAACAAAAAACTTATTTGGTTACAACATGTAAGGTGCCTCTCCTTATTTGACTAGAAATTATTGGATACAAAAAATATCAAGTTGTTTTTCCCCATAATATCTCTAACCTGTATGTACTTTCTTATTAATGACATTGACATATTGGACGTGACGATATTTGAACTTTAATTAACTTACTTGAGTAAGTCTACATTTTACTATGGACTAATGATAAAAATGTTCTATTTATGTTCTAATTTACTCTGTCTATTTCATAACAGAGGCGTAGTAAACTCGTTGATGAGGAAGGGGGAGGGGCTCGAATTTATGAATGCATATCTTAATCTAAAGAAAAGAATGCATTTCAAAAAGAATTTAATTCTGCAGAACATGCATTTATGAATACGTTCTCCCCCAAATATTGAGGTTGCTAAAAATTGCATATCGATGTAATATTTATGATCATTGTAACAATTTCAATGGTTGTAAAAACACAAATTGTATTTTGACATGCCATAACAAATTACAGTCATCAAAGTTCTGGAGGAACCGACATAAAATAAAGATGACAATCCATATTCTGCCTGCTGTCCTCAAAGAGATTGCTGACCTCAAGGTCTTTTAATTCAAGTCCATTTAGTTCATCTTGATTTGTTTCCTGAAGTGAATCGGCATCATCAACTTGATTTGATTCCTCTGTCAGAAATTATAGAAATTAGTAAAAAGGTTTTTTATTTGTTTGAAAATGTAGTCAAGAACGGTATGTAGTAAGAGACAGCCAATCTACTGACTCGTGAAAGTCATAGTGGAATATATCGTAAACAAGCTTAAAAAAAATGACAAAATCAAGAACAACCAGATTTGTCAAATGGATCACTTTAGGGCAGGCCATGTGAACTGTGAGTAGGGCTGTCCCCAGAAAGTTAATGGGAGGGGAGGGGGGGGCTTATTCACATATTTAGTTGCGCACAACTGATTTCTTTTTAAAGCAATTTGCTGAAAGTGCCAATGCAACGAAAATTTTGTAAGTTAAACTATGTTTGCAATGACTAGAACCTTTGAAATTACAGTGTACTTTCTAAAACAGTAAATGTATATTCTCGTGATTTTGACGTTTTTGTTATTTCCAATTTATCTAACTTTTGACGTCATATTGTATAATGAGTTCCCACAATGTTTCAAATACTCTTCAGTTTACGGACAACTTCAGGTTGATACTAGTAGGCAGCATTTTATAGCATTAACTCCGTCACAATGAAGGGAACTCTGTCCTTGTGAAGTAAAGTATCAGTAAATATACCTAATAATTTTAGTTCTCATTACGCAACGTGACGTCACAAGTTAGATATATCGGACATAGCAAGAACCTCAATATCTCAAGAATTAAAAGTGATATGCATAAACTGGTTTAGAATGTTCATTGTCAATTTAAAATATCTCTTCAATAAAGTATTACTCAGATAGCAAAATTTTCGTTTCATAGGCGCTTTAAGAAATTAAACAACTCGCTTTCAAAAAAATCAGTCAGGCACAATTGAATATATGAATAACACACCCCCCTCACCAATCAACGTTTACCAGGTGGCCGTGACTGTGAGATGTATGTGCGGGGGTATCAAAAAAATAGTCAGTGACGAAAAACTTTGCAACATATTTGCGAAAATTTAAGTGGAAATAGGCTGAATAGGAAATTAAAGGTGACGACTTCTAAAGAAGTCAAAACGTCAGTCAACATCAATAACTGTAATAACGTAAATGGTTTAAGCCCAGGCGTATCGTCACATGTTTTTAGTTGTAGATCGTCATGGTTAGTAGAGTCCTGAGAAAGTCAACTTGACTTTAACGGTGACTACTGCTAAGGAAGTCAAAACGTCAGTCAGTATCAATAACTGTAATAACGTACAGGGTTTGAACCCGGATGTATCGTTACATGTTTCTAGATGTAGATCGTCATGGTTAGTAGAGTCCTGAGAAAGTCAACTTGACTTTAAAGGTGACGACTACTAAGGAAGTCAAAACGTCAGTCAATATCAATAACTGTAATAACGTAAATGGTTTGAACCCGGACGTATCGTTACATGTTTCTAGATGTAGATTGTCATGGTTAGTATAGTCTTGAGAAAGTCAACTTGACTTTAAAGGTGACCACTGTTAAGGAAGTCAAAACGTCAGTCAATAACAACAACTGTAATAACGTAAATGGTTTAAACCCGGACGTATCGTTACATGTTTCTAGATGTAGATCGTCATGGTTAGTAGAGTCCTGAGAAAGTCAACTTGACTTTAAAGGTGACGACTGGTAAAGAAGTCTAAACGTCAGTCAACGTGAGTAACTGTAATAACGTAAATGGTTTGAACCTGGGCGTATCGTTACATGTTTCTAGATGTAGATCGTCATGGTTAGTAAAGTCCTGAGAAAATCAACTTGACTTTAAAGGTGACCACTGCTAAAGAAGTCAAAACGTCAGTCAACATCAATAACTGTAATAACGTAAATGGTTTGAACCCTGGCGTATCGTTACATGTTTCTAGATGTAGATCGTCATGGTTAGTAAAGTCTTGAGAAAGTCAACTTGACTTTAAAGATGACGACTGCTAAGGAAGTCAAAACGTCAGTCAACATCAATAACTGTAATAACGTAAATGGTTTGAACCCAGGCGTATCGTTACATGTTTCTAGATGTAGATCGTCATGGTTAGTAGAGTCCTGAGAAAGTCAACTTGACTTTAAAGGTGACTACTGCTAAGGAAGTCAAAACGTACATCAACAACAACAAAAACAGTCTTTCTCATAACTCTACTAAACTGGACGATTTACATCTACAAACATGTGAAAATTTGACATTAGTTAAATCATTGGAAGTCAAATTACTTATTTCCACCAAAGGTTTTTGCGAACCTTGTACGCTGATCGATTTAGCAACGTTCTCTCAACTGTTATGTTTTTTCAATTTTCCCCAATCCTTTGGGGTAACCATTACCTCCGTAGGATTTTTAGCACTTCAACAGGACAGCATATTGATATTTACTGTCTCGATTCAGAGACAAATCGTTTGTTCGTAGGGCCGTACTGCCACTGTAGGATTTTAATGGAATATGAATTTCAACAATCGCTTGCAACTAAAAAATACGTCAAACATGTCAAATACATCGTAAATATGAGTGGACAACAATTAATAAGAATTTATAAAATTTCAATGTCGCCAGTGAGGTGCCAGGTTTGAATGGAATTCTAAATATAAAGATAAGATCCCAAAAGATCGTGTTTAAGAAAGCCATCGGCATTTGATTTTTTCAGTATTTATTTAAAAAAGCAATCGACGTTTCGTCTTGACTCAAGACATCTCAGACTAATTACATAGACTTAAGCCTAGGCCACACTATCGTCGATAATCACGAAAACGAAAACCAAACGAAAATTCGTGCACAAAATACATGCCAGACACGACGTAAAATTGCAAGCATGTTTACAAAGATCGGCTAAAACGTAAACGGTATTATTGCTGGATGTGTCTCTGTAGTAGCCGTTGCGGTAACAAAACAAGCAAAAAGGAAAAAGTGTCTTCCTTTGGCAAGAAGATACTCCTTCTGAAGTTGAAAGCAACCATTTAGCAAGACAATCAAAGGCCGATTCTAGATTGACCCAATTAATAAACGACGTGATCGACTTGGATTATTTAACAATTTGATTGAAAAGTTACGAGAACCGAACAAAGAAAACAGACTCATAAAATAATTGCGAATGACGACAAATTGTTTTTTCTCGCATCGGATTTATTAAAATTCGTGCCACCCCGCCATCTTTGTGTAGTTAAGTTTTAGATTATTAGCCAATTGCATGCGTTTTCATTAACGAAAAATGTCAAAAGTTTAACTCTTCTTATAAGCACAAAAACGAAATTTTCGTTGAGTTTTCGTTCAAGATTTTCGTTGCGGCAGTTTTCGTTCTAATTTTCGTCGATGTGGACGATAGTACGGCCTAGGCTTTACTACGATGCTCAAAAGTTCCTTTTTATTACTTTTATTTTTCTGTGTGCCCTTTCACAGGAAGCAACTATCTTTAACTCCCTTTTTTCTCTTCAGATCTTAAAAACTCTTAAATTGGTCTTTGGAATAATTGCGAGAGGGGGGGGAGAATGAACGTCTCTCTCAGCTCTCTTTATGGTAAATTTCCCTCCATTACTCATCCCCCCTTATATCTTGTACAATCTTTCTTACATTTCCTTACAATACTCAAAATCAACTTTACACTGTAAGTACACATCCACACAAACCTCACACCTTAACTATCTAAGTAATTACATCTCATTTGAAGATGTCTTGAGTCGAGACGAAACGACAAACGTCACTTGCTTTGTTTTAATAAGTATCAAATAAATCGAACGCTTATGGTTATCTTTGAAACAATCTGTTGGACTCTAACCTTTAGGTTGATAATTCAATATAAATTCTTTAATATTTCAAACATGTTACCTTCTTCAATACGTAAAACACTGTCTAGTTCTTGTTGATCAACGTTATCAACGTCGTCGTCGGCGCTCATGATTCACTGTATAGAGAAAAAAACGTCAAACTAGATTAATTGGTCAATTTTGACTTCAAAATATCATTTAATTTTAATAAACATCGACTACAAATCATCTGGAGTTGCAACTACGTAATAAGTACTGTGCTTATAGCCATGCATTAAAGTCAATAACGAGCATAACTTCTGTTCAACGAGAATGATCATGACGAAGTAAGAGATTGCAAACTATACAATATCACATGGGAAAATACGTCATTATGTCGTAACAAAACTCCATCATTCTTTGCGGACGCAGACGTGGTGCATAATAAAAGTGAAAGCCGTTAAGGAGAGTAGCCTTTGTCATTTCTCAAATATATATGTTGACTGATGACTCTAAGCGATAAAATAAAATGCAGTCTACTGCTGTCGACACCTTAAGAATAAAATTGAATTTCAACAGATAAATTTTCACAAACTCTTTCGATTTTTGAAATAGAATTTGCCAACAACCATCATGCATAGCGCGTTTGTTCATTTCACATCAAAACAATTGTAGAATCAAATATATCAACTATTTTTACTTAAAAAACGAATATCAAAAATCATCAAACATTGCAGTGATTAGTACAACGAATTATGTAACAATAAATTCATATTTGGGAAGTGTTATGTCCGAACATTTCTAGGAGCGAATGTTTATTAAATGATTTTTATCTTTTGTCGAAGACTCAAAGATATTTCGATCTTGTGGAAGCTGCTTTTAGTTAACCTCTTAATCACAAGCAGTAACTAACGGTGATTTACATTGACTAGTCTTTGGGATCGCATGTAATTTTGCATTGCTTACAATCATTCATACAATTTATGAAACTTTTAGCAACATATAGATAGCGAATGTTCACGGAAATAATCTTAACAATCTGTGACAAACTGGAATTCGAATTCAGGAGTTCGTTCCCATGTACTTTACTTATGTCACTGAAATTCGAACAACAAATACTTAATACATGATAATTACCTTTTGATGAAAATGCTTTGCACAATTTTATCGAAATTTTCGTAAGGCGTCTTCTCCAATGAATACGATGACTAGAAAATAAAAGTATTGATCTTAGGAAGAATGTCATATGATCTCTGCGTGACTAGAAATACTATAGGATTAAATATCATGTGTATAAACTCACGTTAGTTAACCTAATTTCTGTCAATAAAAGACAAAAATTAGTCAATTTGATAAAAGAATTTTTGGTTTCAAAAGAATTATTTCACAATATACAGCATAAGACTTCGGTAGAGAATTTTTTTATTTCACAGTAAATGCTACACGCAAGAAAATACTGGAAATTAAAAGTGCTAATTTAATAGTCAATTGGTAAAGAAGTGACGACAATAAAAGTGTAGATTTTAGGAGAGGTCTGGTAGTGCAGCCACCAAAGATATTAAAGAAAGTTGAAACATTGCCCAGAAATACTCAGTTCAATTGTACTAATGATTGGTTTTGCTAAAATTGAGGGAGTTAAAATGTTTCCGACAGAGGTGGGCAATTTATTTTTGGAAGTTAAATCTAAGTTTGCGTGCCCCACCCTTTACCCCTCCTCAGTAAATCTGTCCATGTTTTATAGTGATTATCTTATTAATGGCAGGAGACATGGTAAAGCTGTAATGGAGAAAGTTCTTTTAAAATACTTTTGTTTTCTTGGATTACAGTAAATCACTCTACAAATATGGAATAAGGAACAATTTTTCGTTGAAAGAAAACTTACATCGTCGATAGGGAAACAATTCTTATACTAAATCTTCCTAAGTTAAAATGGGAATAATAGTATATATCAATATATGAGTGATTATTTTACTTTTATTGCCAATTCGTAATAGTTAAATTTTAACGTTGCCAACAAATAGCGACACTCTTTTTTAAGCAACATTTTTCAAAGATGAAAGTTCAACATACACCATGTCATGAAGAAATTTATATTGCATACGAATGAACGTAAGTTGTGATCTAAACATGTTTTTGCTCAATAACCACATACCCAGAACTACATACGTTGTCTGTGAATTTTAGATAGGTGTGCTAAATATACAATGAAAAATATTAGCTACATGAAAACTTTGCAAAGAACATGAAATTAGCACGATAATTAATATCTCACTGTTGGTCATATATAAGTAACTAACGGTTTAAGCTTGTACACAGCTACATAGTATCTCTTGTAATTGTTGGCAGTATTGAGCACATGCTCTGTTCTACAGAGAAAAAATCCCAGTCTGCTTTCAAGACTTCTATCAACAGGCTATGTTGATTTTGTAGAAGTCATTTCTTTAGAAAATGTCAAATGTCATACATACATACATATAACAATTTATAAAACCAACACATACAGTGTTTTGTGAAGAAGCAAAAAATGCTATGTTCCAACAGATATTTCAGAATGCAAGATTAGTAAGAGATGTTGTGTGACTGGTAACTTTATAATAAGTCTCAAAGTATTTCAAAGTTTGGAAAAATATAATTGTATTGGGCATTAATTTGATTAAATCCAAACTGAGGTTGTTGCTTTTGTTTAAATATTTTGCTACCATTATATTCAAAGATGTGTTGTCTCATTTAACACATAAACGAATGCAGCATTGATAAATTAAAATTTAAAATAAAATGAGCAAAAAAAACAAATGTGTTGCCTTTTAGGTCCTTCTCAACTAAACCCCAATAACAATGACAACATTCTACAGCATAATTCATAAAATGTTTAAATTTACTGTTTCATTTATGACCACATATAAAATAAAATGCACTCGCCAGATAATTGTTCAAAATCTATATTATAAATCAATAAAAAACTTTACTTACCACTGTACGTTTTACAGACATTAATGACGATGTGTTTACGGAATCATGAAGCATGCGACGTTTGAAAATTGCATCGCTCGCTCGCACATTCTGACGATTTCTTTTCTCTTTCATTTCATAAATTTCATACACACATATAATTTTTCATAGCTCATACAACCAAACAACCACATAAACGATGACAAAAACACAAGACTAATGAAGAAAAGTTAAATCACGTTTTTTTACGACTACTTCCGCTTGCATGAGCACCAAGACTGTTGTTTTGTAAGGGGGGGGGGGGACGTGATATGTTGCAAATGTTTTGAGCTGATGATATTCTTTATCAGTTGATGGTTGCATGTGAAAAGAGCGAAGTTTTTGGATGTGTATTTTCTGCTAATAACTCATACAATACAGATCCTATAACAAAAGAAAAGGTATAGTCATTTTTTAACCTCATGGTTTGCCACAGACCATAGGTACTAGGGCTTCTTTATTTGAAAGTTGGTGCTACAGTTGATGAAAGTAATAGAAAAGATTTGATTAGTTTGTAACACGCTCCCTATTAATTTATCTCATTTCCTCATTATTCTTATAACTTATCCAAATTTATATCTCTCATTGTTACTGTATCATAATACTTTTATAAACCCTGTATTTATTTATTTATTCACTCATACTGAAGATGGCATCATGAGATGTCGAAACATGTCTATTTTCAAAAAACTCGTCGTCTATATTAAATACCAAACAAAGGAACTGGCATAAAATTCTGCAAATTCACTATAGCGGCGATTGAAATTGTTGATCGTCTTGCTTTTATCTTTGACATACCAGCAAAATGATTCAGCTTAAAGCACTTCGTGCATATTTTTCCATAAGTCTTGCATTTCCCTCGCTTGTGAGTGTAAGAATAAAATTTACAGTCTTTTAGTAGGGATTTATAGTAACTGAATGATTCTCTGCCAATGTTTTTCTTTTTGTTTCTCGTGAATTTTCTCTTCTGTATACTGTCAATATATTCTTTGCCTTTTAATTTCCTTTTTAAGTTCCTTCGTTTGTCCCGTTGTTTTCTCAGCAGCATGTCCATTTGTATAGTTTTCTGTAGTGTTTATTCTGGTTCTCTAAGAAGACGTTCACGAAGACGGTTATCATTAAGTCCACATATGATAATGTCACAGATGAGATCATCTCGAAGTATTTTAAACTTGCATTCAGCATTACGCTTCTTCATACTAAAGTTTGATTTTCACGTAGGCATTTGTTATCTGTTATAAATATGCCTGCGTTAACTATTTAAGGTATAGTAGTAGTATATGAAATGTTATATACCAACTTTCAGAAACTACACCAGCTGTCCTACTTAGTTTCGGTTGGGAATAATTAAACCACGTACAGGAAAACGTGGAGATCCAATTGATTTTCCACTTGTAAATGTCCTAAAAACTTTTTCTATCTTAAAAACCGACATGGAATATTTTTTGCAAATGTATATGTATATATGTATATATATGTTAGAGTCCACACCAAAGTAACCAAATAAAATGACAAAATACAATCAACTTGTTCGACTGTAGTGTAAATGACATAGATGATAAGCAAAAACACAAAAAGAACAATATTGGTTTACTGTGAAGTACCTTAAATGATAACCTAGTTGGTTACAACTAATATAACACCCAAGAAAAAAATTAATGCGACAGTTGAAAATTAAATGCGAGGAGTAAGATTTGTTGATTTTTATGGCTTGATTATAAAAAGAAAGGACAACAGCAGAAGTTTTACACAATGAACGAACAACACATACCTACCTATTATCTGCAACTGTACAATTTAACATCTTTAAAAAAGTTAGGGGGGAAGGATTGAGCATATTCATATTTCCCTTAGTTAATATGGAGCGTGCACTCAAATTTTATTGTTTTCTATTTCGTGTAAAAAAACAAAATCTTTATACTGTTTTTGTTGGAAACATTTGACAAAGATTTATATTTCATAAAAAAAGGATCAGTCCTATCTAGAAAAATATCAAAAATTTGATGTCGATAAAATTAAGATCATTTTCTTCTTTAAAGCACGTCTTTTGGTTTAACAGCCGATAGTGATAAATATGAAATAATTTATAGCAGCATTTTAGGTCAGAGGTCACTGGAGTCACATAATTCAAACACACACACAACACGCAATAATTTTTCAACAAAACAATTTCTTTATGACTACATTCTATATTACAGTGCAAAATTAATAAAAGTCATGCAAATACTTGTTAATAAAATCAACTAAAATTATTTCATTATATGTTTTGCAAAATTTTGATACACATATCAACTGCCTGTTTTGTCCTACAAAATGAACAATTCTTTCTTTAAATGGACAGTAATATCACATATACATAGTTCCATGCAACAATAAATCATTGACTAATATGTACCCAGCCCACTCGTGTTAGTCCTGCTATGCAAATTCTTGAGCATCATCATCATTCATTTCTTTAGAATACGGTCACATTAATTTTCAATTTTTAAATTTGCACAGTAAAACTTAGTGAGTGAACTGGCTACACTACATTTATTGACAACAAATATAAGAATCCATAGAAAATTTCAAAATAACCATTGAAAAATCCTAAAAACTTAACTTCCTGAGAAAAACGTTCAAAGTGTCGTATACTTCTCATCGTTGTAGATTGACGTTACTTTCACATATTGATGTTACTGTAGTCTAGACATACTACTTATATGAAACAAAGTAGACATGAAACTGTCACTCCAGGTTGAGGCATCGACAAAAATGCTGAACGATAGCCCATTGGCTACAACACCTTTGTAATCATGCGACATTCTTCTATTCTCTCTCACAAATGTTCAGTCACTTTAATTGTTTACAGTTTTTTAACAACATTTGAAATTCCCTTGAAAACGGTTGTGAGGATAACCAGTTTCTCACTTTCAGGTTTTAAAAATGTTGTCAACAAAGTCAATAACCAATATCACAGTAAAATCACAGAGCCTTTGTCTTCCAGTTCTGCTCGCAGATGAAACTTCATGGTTTGAAAAAAGAAAACTATGCCACCAAGTGCTTTGGTAGATAAATTAGTCATTCTATTGGTTTGAATTTAGAAAGTGAAAATTTTCAATATGCTATAAATTATTACATATCAAATCTCGTTGGGCATCCATTTCCAGTATGCTCACTGATCTTTGAGTGAATAATGTTCTTTTAATTGTTTAACACTTTTTAATACAAATACACTTTAATAAAGTTCATGGGCTTCGCTTGTCCTACAATACTAAGTTCTCTTTTGTCGCAGCCATAAATGATACGATTGATTCACAAAGCACAGGTGTTCACAGAGCAAAAATCTTGATTTAAAATTTCTCAGTAAAAGTCATAGATGTGTCCTCGAACATCCTTTCACATGCAGCACTGTAGCTTTTGTTCTTTCTTTATATTTGCAAAACTCTTTATAGCTTTTGTTAACTTTTCTTCTCGTGCAATAACCATAGTTTGGAGCGTTTAGAATCAATGGGCACTTGTTTATCACAAAATGGAATGTCCATTATGAAGTCGAATTCTATTGTAGAGTTTACTTCTTCACATGTTTCTTCACATTTAGTGGTGCACGTGGTTTGGTTTTCTATGTAATTGCTTTAAAACTTCTCGTTTAAATTCATTTCAGCACTCATACACTATAGTGAATGTATAGTAGTTAAAGACAGCGTAAAGTACAGAATGAATAATAGAGTGAATTTAAAATTATTTAGACAGCAATGTCATAGATAAGAGCCTCTTTAACTATAAATTTTAACAATACAAATTAACTTGCCTAACTGCATATACATGAGCTTGGCTTTCAAAAATGTTCTACTTTCTTCAAAATAAATCCAGTCAAGATCTTTACGAACCACAATACACTGCGCTGCCCATGCTTATTGTTAAAATTTATAATTAATTGACCCTCTCAATTGTGCAAGAAGTGAATACGTTCGTGCTGACCTTTGACAAGCTTAACCCAAAACCTTATAACAGTAATCGAACGAAATACCAATATTTTAATAATTTATACATATTCTTCGACATATTCTCCAACAAACATTTAGACAGATTCGGGCAAAGAGTTTTTTGAAGAATATATCGAAGTTTATTTTGTTGAACGTGCAATGGAATAAGTCCTTTCTTGACTAAATTCTTGACTGAGACTAATAAGAACAGTTATATCACTTTTTGAAACAAAACACACTGTGTCAAAGATTTTAATCAATTGTTTCGTTGTTTGCCAATTTTCAAACAAAAAAATTGACAACGTTAACAAACGTCTCTTTTGGCTAACATCATCATGTCCTCCTCACCTTATTGTCTATGTATGTTCTCAACTAATTCCCAAGGAAGGGGTTCTTTAGCAACTGCTAATGTATTTAAAAGTGACTGAAATTTTTCTTTACTGATTTGAAATGAATCTAATTCGTCACTTATTCTTTTTATGGAAATTTCGTAATATTCATTGATATCCATTAAAGTAAAACTGTTCAAACGTTAAAAATCTCTGACATCGATTTTTCATTTAATGTTAAAAACGTGTCTTTACACATCTTTTCGTGTGCAACATTTTCGTTTGTTTTCTTTCTCTCTATATTGCAAAACATTCTCGAATTTTATTAACTTTTCCTGTTCGTGCAGTAACACATGGTTTGGAGTCTTCAATCTCAATGGTTAAATTGTTTATCACGATGTTGAACGTAAATCATGAAGTCATTTTCTTATGGAGTTTACGATTTAACTTTTAACAATCAGTGACAAAGACAGCCAAATTTTAATTTTGCTAGAAAACATATGGCAAAGGTACCATTGCTTTATTATAAATTTACATTTCTCAAATGCATGAAGACGCAAATATTCATGTAACAAAAGTGACAATTGGGCTGTCTTTGTCTCAGTTAATAACTTACTAACATCGATGATTTGTAAATCAAAACGCAATAATTAAAATGTATCAAAAAATGCTTTTAGTGCAAGATAGAATTGATTAAATTACTAACAACTTGCTTTAAGTGTAAAATAGTAACAAAAAACGTGCCACGTGAAGTATTAAAACCATTCTGCACATAATAAATTTGCAAGAAAATTATGATTACATGACGTTTTAACAAAACATAATATTAGGTGCAATAACAAACACTAGTTTGCCTTTTCTATTTTTGTGTGAAAAGATAAAAGTCAATAAAAAAATTTCGTTGTACAAGTATTGCTGTTGGTTTGCTTCATTATTGTTTTTCAATTGCCATCTTTAATTGATGAAGTTAAGTTTTCCAGCATGATTTCCAAAATTGTTGACATTGATGAAAATGACTACCACTAAGGTTGTCGAAACGTCAGTCAACAACAAGAAAAATAGTCCTTCTCAGGACTCTACTAACCTGGACGATCTACATCTACAAACATATAACAATACTCCCGAGTTCAAACCTTTTACTTTATTGTTGACATTATCGTCAAACTGCAGTCTCTTTACAGAAAAAATAAAGTTAGACAAAGTTCATTTTATAAAACCATAAGCAAACGGACTTAATTGAAATGTCAACGATGTTGGAGATCATGCATAAGAAATGAATGAAATTTTCGTTAAGATAATGTAGTTGACATGTCATGATCAAACATGGGAAGAAATTTTATCATCAAAGATCACATTTATTCTCGTGGCAAGATGATTTTTGCGCAATATATCGGGACAGCAAAGGAAAAACTAAAAAAAAGTTTGCGTTTACGACAGAAATAAAAAGTTGCAAGTGACATTTTATCACGCGGTCTTAGTAAAATGCTCTTAAAATATTTCAAATCAATCACTTGTAAGTTAACATTAATCATAAATCTACAATCAAGAAAGAAAAACTTACCATAGACTAAATTCTTAGTAAAACTACAAATAATTTGTAGGTTTTTGATGTCAAATACTTTCACATACAGTCCTGGGTCACCTATCAATAATTTATCTGCTGAAGGTGAAAAAGCAGCGTAAGTTTTACAGCGAATAATATCACGTGTGTACTTTCCAACGTGTTTGTTCACGATGAAATTGGTGATTTCCTCCTTAATTACGTCATCCCAACCATTAACAAGTTTGTCTTCATGCCACATACAGTAAATTATCTGATCCTTAAATTCAACTTCAGCAAACACGTGATACTTAGAGCTACAAGCAAATACGTGCACATTTCGATAATTTTCGAAATCCACTGATATTTCTTTTCGCTTGTTTTCAACATTGAAAAACACAAAAGAATCAGTTTTTTGACAAGCAAATGATACATCACTCACCTCAAAAATTTTCTTTGTGCCTTTTAGTTCATCGAAACTATTAACATGTTTTGTGAAATCATTATTCCAAAGCTCAGGAATATTTTTTTGCCGTGAGCAAAATAACTCCATTTTCTACAGCAACCATGTCCCTAACAAAACATTCCTTGACAACAAAGTCAAATGTGTTGAGATTGTATATACTTACCCTTGATGTTACTTCATTGCTCCGATACAGAAATTTTCCATTTAAGCAAAATTTCCTGTTACGAAAACTGTAACTGTTAGTTAAACATGCACGCGGTATTGAATAAAGATAAAAGTCAAGTCCGTAATTAAACAAAAGTACATTGTCGTTATACAAAATAAAATAATACATAAATAACATATAAAAGGAAAAGCTAGGTCTGTTGTCATCGAAAGGATCGAGAGGAAAAAACGAAGTTTCGAAATCAGGCTCTACATCAGGAAGTTTCTCACCAGTGGGATTTACAATGAAAGGCTTTATCCCAAAAAGAGGATGCCAACAACAACACCAAGAATGAAGACCAACAGTGAACAACTTACTTGAAAAACTAGACGGTAAATGAACGTCGTAAACGAATGTTTCATAATTATTCGCTACATCAAATATTTGAACCACTTTTCTTTCATCAACAACACACAAATATCTTCCAGAATTAGAAAAACACAGTGAGGTCACATTATTACATCTAATACTGCGTTTCTTTTCACCTTTCTCAACGTCCCATACTGTCAAAGTATCTTTGTAACAAGTGACCATTGTGTACTTATCCTTAGAAAAACATTTGTCCGTAAAGAACTTAGAAGTAGAATCATCACAATGGAACGGACTGGAGAAAATTTTACCACTAATATCTAATATCTTATTAAGCTGGGAAGCAAAAATCAAATCTTCGAACGGATGAAAGACAACGCAAAATTCTCCCTCTTTAAATTGCTTAAACTGACCATCAATATTTTTTATCCATAAACATCTGTTTGTTCTCAATGAAAAAAGTTGCACGACGAATCCATAATAACCACAGACGACGTAATCATGATTTCGTGAAACATCAACAGACTTCAAATTTTGATTTAAACGTAATAATCGAGCCTTTACAAAACCCGTGTCTTTGCACTCTAGATATGGTGAGTCTTTGAAACGTGTTTGAAGCATTGTGATGGCTTGAGACGAAAGATCTTTGACGTCGTTGGCAACGTTTTGCAAAAAAATTACTTTATTGCCTATACGCTTAGAGTACGTCATTACAGAAAAAACTTCATTAAATAACAATCGAATGTCCTCAGAAATAAGAAAGTACACATCATGTGCGTTGAATAATTTAAAATTTTCAAAAGTCCGACGACCATCAACCAACACAGAAGCAACTAAAACTTCCAAGTCAACAAGATATTTACCAACATTTTCAACGATATAATCATTATCAGAAATAGCAAGTAAATGAAGCAACCAATACTTAACTGAATACCTCACTGACGCATGTTTAATGACGTCATAGTTTACACCTTCAGCTTTGAGGTTATCGAAAGATTTTAAACAAAATTCTAAAACAAGTCGATGACCACAAGAAGTTTTTACTGAGTAATCATGTTTTCGATCATCCAACAACCAATCATTTAAGGATTTGTGAAAAAACGAAACACATCCTTCTCCATTGGTAACAAACAGACAAGAGATAATTTTTCTAACCCCAAGTGATATGTAATTTGAATTCAAACAAAGAACGTCATCGATCATTTCCCAAGGAAGAGGTTCTTTAGCAACAGCCAGAGCATTTAAAAGTGACTGAAACTGTTCGTTACTGATATGAAACGAATATAATTCCTTACTTAATCTTGTTAAGCAAATTTCGTAATATTCACTGAGATCTTTTGGTATTGAAGCATTCAACAAATCCTGATTTTGACTTCACTGGTAAGAAGTGATGCAAGCAACATAAGTCCGCCAGTCTTTTCTGCCAAAATTTTTTTCAAACCAGGAATGCTGTCAGTAGAGCCAACTCTTTCTTCAATGAAAAAATTAATATCGTCTAAATTGCGTTTATCACTGCAGTTAATGAACAGTGGATTTAATTTTTCGAACTTATTCAAAGAAACTTCGTTAGGTCTCGTGGTAATTACAAAGCGAAAACAATGCGGAAGTTTGTGCAAGTGATTAGCAATAAATTAGCAAGGTCATCTCTTTCTGGATAACCACATTCATCAAGAGCATCAAGCACAACTAGCATTCGCTTGGGAACTTCTGAGATATTATTAAACAACTCGGTGAAAAGAAGGGAAAATAATCCTTCAACATTCATGTAATTCAAAGGCTCACACAGTTGACCTGAAAGTTTTTTCACAAGAAGTTGTTTGTAAGAAGGAAACTTACGACTAATTTGCATCGCTAAAGATTGAAGAAGTACATTGGCTTTATTGTAACGACTGTTGTTGTGTTGAAAGAAATGAACTGCAGTCAAATATTGTGGATAACGTTTACATAAAGTAGCTGCAATTACAGACTTTCCCATGCCAGCAACAGCAGAAATAATAAATGCACGATTTTGAGAACTGTCGTCTTCAAACCAAGCCAAAACTCATCAAAACCCATTCCCGAGTTCCTCTAAAATTTTTCATTATGATGTCTAATTTCACTTTCAAAGTTACAACTTACAAGGTGACGTTTCATTTCTTCCTGATGACTTATCATTTCTTCCTTACTTTCAATTACACACAAACGATTATGTACATCAAATTTGAATTTGTCCCATTCTTTCACAATTTTTCACATTCTTCATTACCAAACAACTCATTTTTCAATCTATCTATTTCTTCCTGACTTATTCCTAAACGAACTAATGGTTCGCTTATTTCCCCCAATGATATTCAAATTCATCAAAGCTTACTGAAGTGTCAGGTAAGTGAGCAAAACGATCATTACGAAATAACCTGATACGGGTAATATCTGCTTCAGTTGAATAATCAGTGGGGTCATTTACTGACGTCCATATTGGATCACGAGGTGATTTTAAACCACAAATATTACGAAGGAGTATACAAAGTAAAGTAATGTCAAACTTATTTTCATTTGGTAATATTGGAGGATCTGGATACAGTTGATCCCACTGATGTGGATGGATTTGTCTATTCTTTAGACTTGAAAGTAGTTGCGCATTTTCGGGTCATTTAAAACATAAAATAAATCAGTACCTGACAGTTGTTTCCTCAATGTTATTCTTAAAGCTTCTCCACCAACATCAACAATTAATCTCATCAACTTAAAACCATTAGTTTTCTTTTTAGAGCTCAAGACAGTCTCCATGTAGAAAAAAGTAGGTAAGACTTCCATGGTACAAATTCATTGTGATTATAAAGGAAAACCTGCGGCCAGTTACATGAAGGCAGAATAGTTTTATCCATTAGATAGCAAATTGTTTTGAACTTTTACAAAATCTCTTAAAAAGGAATAATATGTGATTTGTACTAAGCAATCATTGAAATATTGCTTCTAAGATTACAAAATATCTTTCCCCTAAGGAAAATATAAACACCTTTTTCTACAAGTTTGAAAATTTTACTATCCGACGAACAATGCTATCCAGGCTTCATGCAACCGTCCCCAGATGTACAAGGTACATAAAAATAGGTACAAGTGTGTACATGCGGGTAGCCTTGACCAGAGTTACAGTACATGGAACAAACAGTAGTCAGTAGTCCAACTGCTTAGTGTTGTATTTTTCATTAAGTGAAGTCCCGAGGCCATTACCAAGATCAAGTCCCAAGGTCATTCCGTAATAATAAAATATGAGAAATAACAAAAAATATTTTGATGTCAAAATGCCACAAAATAATCAACGATAATGGTTCGGATTTTGACTCCAAAGTATGGATGATCGGAAAGACACAAATTCTAATCTCATCTTTTTTAAGCCCTGGAAAATTAGCGTTCTTTTGATACGGCAAACTACTAAACTGACGCTCCAAATCCTCTCGTTTTAATCGAGCCGAACAAAGTGTTGAAGCAATGGAAGGCTCAAACACGCGCTTTGCTTTAAACCCAGATTTTCCGTCTTCGCTTGGTCTCGGGCCTTTTATCATTATAAGGCATAGTGTGAAGACTCATACGAGAGCAAAGGCTTGACTCATTCGTACAATTGGCTGCAACGCAACTATTTACCTTTTTTCTGAGTTTACTAGTGCAAAGGCAATCCTTTTAGGCGCTTATAGACTTAAGTTGTGCCTCAGCCAGCATTGACTTGATAGCAATTGAATACACGACTCGTGTAACACGAGTACCTTGGATGACGTCAGAAAATTAACTAGTTTCTGACTCCTCATTATCACGGACATGGTTCACAAGAATATACGATTTTAGTGAATTTAACGCTTTTACAAGAATCAAACGATTTGACCAAATTCAAAACTTTTTCTTTAACGAGGCTTAAAATCATGGACAGATTTGATATTGCTAAAAATTTTTTTCTGGTGGAAGGGACACTTTAAGACTCACAAGGTAAAATGCCTATTATTTTCACAGTAAAAGAATATAAAAACGTACATAGAAGGACTAAACGTTTTATCAGTCTGACTACACCATTGAAAATTTTATTCTTTAAACATTCATAACCATTATCACTGTTTAGAAGGTATTATGATAAAAATAATGAGCAGGTGTAATTTATTTGGACTAATGCTTCATACGACTTAGGAACTAAGGAAGACATAATGTAATTGGGACACGGTTATAGGAACATATAGTATAATTGTATAGAGAACATACAGTAGATTGCATTGAATATTTTTGTGCCATGCATATCTTATTCCGCAAGTTATTACCATAGTGGCTCTGTACCATATTACCACTGTATATTGTCTATACTGTGGTTGGGGTGGCATAAACATTTGGATGTAATGATCCCTAGACAACAATGGTTTTCAAAGGAACTTAACACATGTAGCCTATATTATGCATACATAATATGATCTCCAAATTAACAATCATCCTACAGTCCTGCCACAGTTTTTCTTGCTAAAAAAGGGAATGTGTCAAGAAGTCAACAAAAGTGATGAAAGCAATAAAAATGGTCAACAAAACATTGTAATAAGAAAACCAATGAAAAATTGGTGGACATAATTTTTATGAATGTTGATCCAAAATTGTGTAAAAGATGTAAGAATCTGTACGCCTATGACCAAAACCATTTTTCATTGGTTAGATTATTATTCTAAAAAAAATAGGCAAACTACATGAAGTAGCTATGAACTGAAGAATAAAAACATATCATATACATAAATTAATATGAGTCCCACCCAACAATTATTGATCTTCCTGTACATAAATGAATCCAAGTAAATAGATAAACCTTGTAACAAAAATATATTTACCGACCACACATTGTCCACAATCATTGATCATTTATAAAAGATGAAGAACACAAATAAAATATTGACTTTAGTATGTTATTTCAGTAGCAAATCAACACATATCAACAAACAAGTTTTATCAAATCAAAAGTTCAAAATATGTTGATGTACGTAACCAAGTGATGAAAACCCTCTACAACGATCATTTTAAGATTAAACGATGACAAAAATAACTTTCGAACAAGAAAAAATCATGTTAAACACAGTGATTCAAAGTTCCGTTTCACTTATATTCATTTCCTATACAATGTTTGAAATCTAACTTGAATATCTCGTTTATGTTTGTTGTATTTTATGGTTTGACAATAACCATGTTTAAACACTTATGAACAATAACAAAGCAAACTAGTTTTAAGGTCGAATCATACCTACATTAGTCAAAGGCTTAAGTAAATTTTAAATGAAAAACTGTCTTTGTTCTACTTAGATAGATACGTAAATTAAAATTAATTCGAGTCGCCATCTAAGGATAAAAAATCTTTATCTTACCGTTTTGTTACATGGAAGGAATATTTCTTGATATCATGATCATATATCGCCAGAAAAATATCTCCAACTTTCGTTGACGAGGATGATATTTGATAAAATAAAGAATTTTAAATATTTCTCACAACAGGCTGCAGCTTCCTTATTTATGTGCAATGTGTGTTACGCGCGCAATCTCGCGTGACTTCCACGTATGTATGGTCAAAGGTCTTATACTTTGGGCAACTCTCACCATAATATGACCAACCGTTAACTCAAACACTTTCACCAAATCGTTCATTAAAATATCTCATATGTAAATAGTAAAACACGAAACAAATAGGACGCAATAATAACGAATTGCTTTACAGCAAAACATTATAAATGTAAATTTTAATGTTTCATACGAAGGCAGATATTAGCGCAAACTTTCAATTTCACTGTCCTATGTCCAAGATCAACTCACCATTGTGTAGTATATGAATGTAGTTGGTCCAAAATTTATAACATTCTATACATGAGCCTGACGAAAACTTCAGAATGTTAATATTATGCCAGCACTAACGAAAAGCGTTACAGTAAAAGTGCAATTTTTTGGATTGATGAACTTTCTACAATATTTGGTGTTTGTAGCAATTTCATTATACTATTGTAAGCCTTTACAGTTCACAGAGAATTAGTGAGTGCGCATTTAGATATTTCTTAGCACTCTCTATAGCAAATCTCTAAAAAATCATGAAACATAAAATGAGCGTTGATGCTAGACACTCCCCGGATTGTTTACACTACTACTGACACTACACCGGAAACTTTACACTAAATGACTCATTCGTCGTCCTTTTCTTGGAATTAGCCGTTTGAAAGTTGAGCGAAAATCTTGAATGTCCGTAGACTTTATTAATTCCAGATGTAATGCTCTCATGACTGCACATACATACACTACAATCCAGGCTTTTCCTTCAATATTTTTCTTTTACGATACTTTATCGGGACGCCGTAGTCCACATGAATCAATTATTTGAATGGTAAACGCCACTCATTTCGGTCTCTATGTAGATTTCCTAAGACAGACTTGGGTAGGAAACGGCTTGAAATTTTTCACATCCGTGACAACGCTTTATGACTCGTTTCACAATTTGTCTTAATCTTAGAACCCAGTAACTTTCACGTACCTTCACAATTGTTAAACTTGCTCCCCCATGAAGGATAACATAATAGGAATGTTGAACAATTTTTTTTTTGAACACATTACTTTTGTGCAGGTAAATTGGTTAATCTCCTTGGATTCGTCCATAACACTTTACGCCTCTAATGATCCTCACAAAATTTACTTTAAGCCTCTCCTGATCTTTACAAAAATTTTGCAGTGTACATGTCTAGACTTCGGGCTTGGATTCGTTTTATCCACCAATTTCTCCGATTGTTGATTTTCTTTGTTGTCAATGGACCACTCTTCCTTTGTCCTTGTTTTTTACTGTTCTGGATAAATGTTGAGATTCATCCACAAATTCTCAAGGTTTTCTAGACATCGTATTTGTTCAGCAATTCGAAGAACTTGTCATATAGCAGGCTTGCAGTTTTAAATATTTATGTTACAGGTTTTGTTTCCGCAAGACTTTCGTCCGTTGCTGTAGTTGTGTTGTCCTCTTGCCAATATTCTTTCGTTGTCAACCTCTTTTCCTGTATCTTCCTTACCAGATTCCTTACGAATTGCTTTAGATCCTCACTTCCACCATTCCGTATCTAATGGAGAGCTAATGTGCTGTCCAGCCATCCAAAAACATTGTCGATTGGGAACCCGTCCAGCGCTTCCTTGACGTTATAAAAAAGATTTGTTGCCATATGTGCAGATATAAGTTGTAAGCGTGGTATTGTCAGATCCTTCTTAACAAGACGATATTTTACAGCCACCAGGTCCTTCCACGTACCACTGTCTTAATGGACAATGACCATCACTATTGCCCCAACTCCATGACTGCTAGCATCAGCAAGGGTATGTAGCTCGATTTATTGGATGATTTCCATGAAACACATGATACTTCGTGGAAATTTGATAGGTTGTGGAAAAGAAATTTCGTAGGAAGACCATTTATCTTTGATTATTTGTGGTAATTCCTCGTCCCACGATAACTTGGCATCACGGCAGTCTCGATGGTGAAGCTTGACCAACAACGTCAAGGAAGACAGCAAACTCAGTGCATGGTTCATAAATCTTCGCTGTCTTAGCTAACCCCTCACGCTTTGTGCTGTGAGACATGTCCGTAGGTGTCTGAACTTTGATGAGATCTTTCTTTTTGTCCATGATAGCCAAGGAATTGTTTCTCGGCTGTCTTCGCTCCCAATTGTTGCTTTGCATATGTAGTCTCCTACCAAAAGGAACGGGAAAGGAGACACGCCAAACAAAGCTTTGGTGAAACGTAAGGTTATCAGCTCTTTTGTTTTTATATCTTTGTACCAATAAAAGCGCATTACATCCCGATCTTCCTCACGTACTCTTACCTGGAGGAATGTCTGCTTTAAGACTCCTGTTAACGCAACCAGATGAAATCTTCCTTTCATCATCACTTTCCGCAGTTGATTCTGCAAAGGTGGACTGCCTTGTAAACATTCATTCATGGATGGTGCTTTATAATTATCACGTGTAGATCCTTCATATAAGATCCATAACTCTGTTGTTTCGGCTAACTGATTAAACGCTGGTTTACAGGGCAAGTAGAACTCTTTGCCGCGAGCCTCCATTTTTGCTACCTCTACTATTTGTTTCTTCAACTGTTTCAGAATAATTTCGTTATACTGCTCTATGATATATTTTGTTTCTCTCGCATTTTGTCAAACTGTTTAAACTTCTAATATTCCAACATTTGTTGTTGGATAACGGTGGATGATTTCTTTTCCAAGGTGGTCTTCGTCTCATACCAGCCTCCTTCACTTCTCTGCAGCTGCTGTTTAAACTCACTGTACACATTCTGCTGATTATTGGTTCTAGAGTCCTCGATTCCAAGAACATCTAACCTACACAGTTGCTTGTACTCTTCGTGATGTACTTGGTTAAAAAGCAGTTTATTAATGTTAACCTCCTCCCCTGGTGACATGGTTTGTCCATCCTAGTTTTGCGAGCTCTGCGACAGGCTCTCCTTAGGATCCAACTCTTGGCTTTGACGCGATTTAAATTTTTGAGTAATTCCCCGCCCCTAACATTAAACGTACGTGGAGTTTTCCTTTGTCGTCATCATCATTCATGCTTATGCCACTTAGATGTGTGTACTCTGAAATTAATTTTGCATACTTTGGATTGTCAAGTATTAAAAGTTCCCTTTTTGCTTCTCGTGTTACAACTGTTTCAATTTGATATTCCTCTTTTACGTCATTTTTATCTGATAAATTCCCACCAATTTTGTGTTTGTCCCAAAGATCATCTCAACAGATCGGATTTTCCGCTTATTAAGTTGTTGCTTAAAAATGTCGACGAATGTTTTGAGGAGGCGTAAGAGCTTCCCACCCCCGTATCAATTAGAGCACGACATTTATACCCATTCACTTTACCAACAACAACGTGATGAACTACTGCTTTGGACTCATTACATTTAGTATTCAGTAATCGATCATTCGTTGAACTGATGGTAGCTTGGTTTTCACAGGAATTTTCGCAGATAGAATTATGATGCCTTTGCTTGTAATAGGGCAGTTGGATTTGTTACAGCACTCGAAAGCCCGATATCCCTCCCCAGTGCAAGACAGCAGTGAGCACTCATCACACAACGCTACTGAATATTTAGGCTGCGATGCACGACATGTTCCATTGTTTTATCACAGTATTGCGAATATACAGTAGGTCCTCTTCGCTGTGCAACTTGCTGCTGTATATTTAGATTATTGGCTGTCATTTGCCAGCTCAGTTCAACTATTAGTCAAAATTAAGCAATTGACTGGCTGCCACTATGATAATCACACGCGCAATGAGATACGCGTGGCACAAAAAATTGAATGAAGTGGCTCTTATGTATGTTCTATATACTGTGGTTTTATGCTACGACAAAATTAATTACGTTGGTTCTACAGATTATAATTTATACCAGTATAATTGTTCTTTTTGGAGGTAGCCATAAAAAACTTTAAGTTAAGGGCTATTCGCATGAGCCCGAGTAACCGTGATTCAGCGAGGCGTGAAATGACTTTGAGGAAGGGAAAGGAGTAAAAAGTTTAAGTGCAAAACTTACAACCTTTTCTTAAGCGTCATAAATCAATTTACTTTCAATTTTCAAATCAGAGTAAATTATTTGTTTTCGTTTTTAAAGGTTTTGTGAATTTACAAAGTCAGAGCATAGAGAAATTGCTCAAATAAGGTTTTTATGGTGAAGTATTTAATGTTTTTCATTTGTCAAAATGATTTAACATTTCGTTGAAACCCGGCTACCCGGCTAATGTCAAAAGCCTCTTAACCCTGCTGCGTCTAAAGTCGTATTGGGAACAAGCTACACTGATTTATTTTTATTCATTCAAACTCTGTTACTCAAATGTTTGCATTTACTTCAGACAGATAGCGCGCTACCAAAGATTCAAAATCTGAATTTTACATACAGTAAAACCATTTAAAACAAAAGATGACGAGGAGTTTTATCTCAAATTCTTTTACCTTCAATGCATTCGGTTGATGTAAATTTCGACGTTTGAAACTGACCTAACAACGCACTCCTTCCTGAGGAAAGCTCGTTCAATGGGAGAGAGGAGGGGGCACAATAGCACAAGAGTATGTACTATTTGAAAGGACGCTGAATTTTACTCAATTCATTGCTTGATAATAGAAGAAGTGATGGTATGCTGCAGTATCTTAGATACAGACCAATAAACCGTTTATTCGTTACTAACATAGTTTCTAGACCGTTCAATTTTGATTACTTCGTAAAAAGTGGCCACCGTTTTTTCTTCATAAAACTTGGTCAGTCAAGAGAGGGAATGTTGTGATACGTACTTTCACCTGGGTCTAAAGAAGTAAACTTTTCCTCAAGAGTCAAGACCACAAGACATGCTTTTACAAAATTTAACTAAAAATTTTTGCGCTTTAGCGTGCTGTCAGCTGAGAATTATGAGATACCAAGGCCTGTTTCATACGTCGCATTTTACATGCGCCGAATGCATTAGAGGCAAAAGAAAATGAGATAAAATTCCTCATTATCTTTTAGATGTATTTGGCTCATGTAAAATGCGACGTAAGAAACAGGCCCAAGTCTCGTCTGCAGTTTTTATTTTATGCTTCGAACTTACGGCAATAGTTCACTCACCAATTTAGCAAATTACTTTAGAACGACTTAAAATTATAGCATTCAAATAAAAATTCAAAAATATTGTTGTTGCCTTCCAAAGCCGAAACACATGGCACATGCTGTAACCATGACGACGTACGTAAAAAATTTATTTTATATTATACAAATACTTTAGTGAAATGCGTCGTCAGAACTTAATGTAACTCACGACAATGTTTATACTACACATTAATCACCCACGCATGTCATTGATGATGTCACGTGTTATTTTACTTTAACATCCCCTCAGGCCCTCACTTACGAAGGTTTACAATGCTCTACGAAGTTGTGATACATATTTTTCTTTTCCAAAGGGAATTCTTAGTTCAAGAAATATATGCTCTAGATGATTAGATGAGGAAATGATCTGAGGAAGCAAAATCATGAGAAAACTTTGAAAATTCAGATCTCTAGAAGGCTGAAAATGGCCATTTTAGAGATAATTTTTTTAAAGTCATTATATTACTTGCTCAACGGAAATAGAAACATCTTAGAAATTTTTTTTTCCGAACATTTTTCCCAAGAATTAAAAGCCCAAACGACCAAGGTGTTGATTGCATAAGAAAGTTATCAGGGCTAGGAGAAGCAGAATGTGATTAATATATACGATAAATCCCCGATCTACTGTGCTTAGAAACAAAAAGAGGGAGAAAAAATTTCGTTGAATATAACCAATTTACACATTGCCCATTGACTAATATGTTAAGCATACTTACGTATAAAGTTATTGTACAGTTACAATGCTTGATTATTCCCAATGGTTATTGAATTTGCTACTTTTTGAATACTTAATGAACTTCTCGGCTAACCTTGACAATTCCAATAACTTATTGACAACAATAAACTTATTTGGTTACAGCAGATAGGTGCCTCTCCTTATTTGACTAGAAATTATTGGATACAAAAAATATCAAGTTCTTTTTCCCCATAATATCTCTAACCTGTATGTACTTTCCTATTAATGACATTGGCATTATAATGGACGTGACGATATTTGAACTTTAATTAACTTACTTGAGTAAGTCTACATTTTACTATGGACTAATTATAAAAATGCTCTATGTATGTTCTAATTTACTCTGTCTATTCAATAACAGGGGCGTAGCAAACTCGTTGATGAGGAAGGGGGGAGGGTTCAAATTTATGACTGCATGTCTTAATCTATAGAAAACAATGGATTTCAAAAAAATTTAATTCTGCAGAACATGCATGTATGAATACGTTCTCCCCCAATTATTGAGTTTGCTAAACAATTGCATATGGATGTAATATTTATGATCATTGTAAAAATTTCAATGGTTGTAAAAAGACAAATTGTATTTCGACATGCCATAGCAAATTACAGTCATCAAAGTTCTGGAGGAACCGACATAAAATCCAGATGACAGTCCATATTCTGCCTGCTGTCCTCAAAGAAATTGCTGACCTCAAGGTCTATTAATTCAAGTCCATTTAGTTCATCTTGATTTGTTTCCTGAAGTGAATTGGCATCATCAACTTGATTGGATTCCTCTGTCAGAAATTATAGAAATTAGTAAAAAGGTTTTATATTTGTTTGAAAATGTAGTCGAGAACGGTATGTAATGAGAGACAGCCAATCTATTGACTCGTGAAAGTCATGGTGGAATACATCGTACACAAGCTTAAAGAAAACTGACAAAATCAAGTGAACTGTGAGTAGGGCTGTCCCTAGAACGTTAATGGGAGGGGGTCTTATTCACATATATAGTTGCGTCCAACTGATTTCTTTTTAAAGCAATTTACTGAAAGTGCCAATGCAACGAAAATTTTGTATGTTAAATTATGTTTGCAATGACTAGAACCTTTGAAATTACAGTGTACTTTCTAAAACAATAAATGCATATCCTCGTGATTTTGACGTTTTTGTTATTTCCAATTTATCTAATTTGTGACGTCATATTTCATAATGAGTTCCCACAATGTTTCAAATACTCTTCAGTTTCCTGACAACTTCAGGTTGATACTAGTGGGCAGCGTTTTATACCATTAACCTCGTCACAATGAAAGGAACTCTGTCGTTGTGAACTAAAGTATCAGTAAATATACCTAAAAAGTTTTGTTCTCATTATGCAATGTGACGTCACAAGTTAGATATATCGGACATAGCAAGAACCTCAATATCTCAAGAATTAAAAGTGATGTGCATAAACTGGTTTAGAATGTCCATTGTCATTTTAAAATATCTCTTCAATAAAAGTATTACTCAGATAACAAAATTTTTGTTTCATAGGCACTTTAAGAAACTAAACAACTCGCTTTCAAAAAAATCAGTCAGGCACAATTGAATATATGAATAACAAACCCTCCCCCACCAATTAACGTTTACCAGGTGGCCGTGACTGTGAGATGTATGTGCGGGGGTATCAAAAAAATAGTCAGTAACGAAAAATTTTGCTAAATTGATCAGTGCTAAATATTTGCGAAAATTTTAATTGGAAATAGGCAGTTGGACTTCCAATGGTTCATCTGATGGTCAAGTAAAATTGTTTCAAAATAATAACCTTCTTAGAGGGAGGAATGTGTTACAGAGAAGTGCTTTTGAAGTAGCTCACGCACAAAAATGACAAAGCTAAATGCAATTGAATTACAAAGGAATAAAATATGTCACACTTCGTTCAAGCAAATGAAGTTTCAGGGATGTTGGCAAAAGCGTACACAAACAATTAGCTTCCAAATCACAGATTATTTTGTTTTCGTTTTTGAATAACTTTTTATAGCTCTCTTCAATTATGTATAAATTTCAGTTTCCAAAAAGACTGAATCTTTATAAACAGAAAAATTGATGATGATTTATGTAAAATGTCATTAAAATGGAAAAACACAAATTAATCTACGATTCGGAAGATGAACGTTCGCGTAAGAATCGTCTAAATTTTCTGAAACTTTATTAGTTTGAACAACATATGCCATATTTTAAACTTGTGCGTTCCAATTGCAATCTATTAATGTCCTTTTTGGCGCAACCTATTGTAAAATAGTTTCTCGGTTGCAATTTTTTTATTCTAACAACGATTATGATTTACGAAAATTTAACTGTAATAACGTAAATGGTTTGAACCCTGGGGTATCGTTACATGTTTTTAGATATAGATCGTCATGGTTAGTAGAGTCCTGAGAAAGTCAACTTGAATTTAAAGGTGACTACTGCTAAGGAAGTCAAAACGTCAGTCAACATCAATAACAGTCCTTCTCATGACTCTACTAAACTGGACGATCTACATCTACAAACATGTGAAAATTTTACATTAGATAAATCATTGGAAGTCAAACTACTTATTTCCACCAAAGGTTTTTGCGAACCTTGTACGCTTATCGATTAAGCAACGTTCTCTCAACTGTGTTGCTTTTTCAATTTCCCCCATAACTTTGGGGTAACCATTACCTCCGTAGGATTTCTAGCAATTCAACAGGACAGCATATTGATATTTACTATCTCGATTCAGAGACAAATCGTTCGTTCTTGAGGCCGTACTGCCACTGTAGGATTCCAATGGAATATGAATTTCAACAATCGGTTGTAACTAAAAAATACGTCAAACATGTCAAACATATCGTAAATATGAGTGGACAATAATTAATAAGAATTTATAAAATTTCGATGTTGCCAGTGAGGTGCCAGGTGTGAATCAAATTCTAAATATAAAGATAAGATCCCAAAGGATCGTGTTTGAGAAGTATTTATTTAAAATAGCAAGAATTTATTGAAAAAAGCAAGCGACGTTTCGTCTTGACTCAAGACATCTCAGACTAATTACATAGACTTACTACGATGCTCAAAAGTTTCTGCTTATTACTTTTACTTTGCTGTGTGCCTTTTCACAGGAAGCAACTATTTATAACTCCCTTTTTTTCTCTTCAGATCTTAAAAACTCTTAAATTGGTCTTTGGAATAGTTGGGAGGGGGAGAATTTATATCTTGTACAATCTTTCTTACATTTCCTTACAATACTCAATATCAGCTTTACACTGTAAGTACACATCCACACAAACCTCACACCTTAACTATCTAAGTAATTACATCTCATTTGAAGATGTCTTGAGACAAAACGACAAACGTCACTTGCTTTGTTTTAGTAAATATCAAAGAAATCGAGCGCTTATAGTTATCTTTAAAAACAATCTGTTGGACTCTAACCTTTAGGTTGATAATTCAATAAAAATTCTTTAATATTTCAAACATGTTACCTTGTTCAGTACATAAAACACTGTCTAATTCTTGTTGATCAACGTTATCAACGTCATCGTCGGCGCTCATGATTCACTGTATAAAGAAAAAAACGTCAAACTAGATGAATTAGTCAATTTTGACTTCAAAACATCATTTAATTTTAATAAACATCGACTACAAATCATCTAGAGTTGCAACTAGGTAATAAGTACCGTGCTTATAGCCGTGCATTAAAGTCAATAACGAGCATAATTTCTGTTCAACGAGAATGATCATGACGAAGTAAGAGATTGCAAACTATACAATATCACATGCGAAAATGCGTCATTATGTCGTAACAAAACCCCATCATTCTTTGCGGACGCAAACATGGTGCATAATAAAAATGAAAGCCGTTAAGGGGAGTGCCTTTTGTCATTTCTCAAATAAATAAGTTGACTGATGACTCTAAGTGATAAAATAAAATGAAGTCTACTGCTGTCGACACCTTAAGAATAAAATTGAATTTGAACAGATAAATTTTCACAAACTCTTTCGATTTTTGAAATAGAATTTGCCAACAACCATCATGCATAGCGCGCGTTTGTTCATTTCACATCAAAACAACTGTAGAATCACATTTATCAACCATTGTTACTTACAAAACGAATATCAAAAATTTATCAAACATTGCAGTGATTAGAACAACGAAACATGTAACAATAAATTCAAATTTGGGAAGTGTTATGTCCCAACATTTCTAGGAGCGAATGTTTATTAAATGATTTTTATCTTCTGCCAAAGACTCGAAGATATTTGGACCTTAAGAAAGCTGTTTTTAGTTAACCTCTTAATCACAAGCAGCAACTAACGGTGATTTACATTGACTAGTCTTTGGGATCGCATGTAATTTTGTATTGCTTCCTAAAAATCATAAAATTTATCAAACTTTTTGCAATATATAGATAGCCAATGTTCACGGAAATAATTTGAACAATCTGTGACAAACTGGAATTCAAATTCAGGAGTTCGTTCCCATGTACTTTACTTATGTCACTGAAATTCTAACAACAAATACTTATTACAAGATATTTACCTTTTGATGAAAATGCTTTGCACAATTTTATCGAAATTTTCGTAAGGCGTCTTCTCCAATGAATACGATGACTAGAAAATGAAAGTATTAATCTCAGGAAGAATGTCATATGATCTCTGCGTGACTAGAAATACTATATGATTAAATATCATGTGTATAAACTCACGCTAGTTAACCTAAATTCTTTCAATAATTGACGAAAATTAGTCAATTTCATAAAAGAATTTTTGATTTCACAAGAATTATTCCACAATATACAGCATAAGATTTATGTAGAGAAATTTTTTATTTCACAGTAATTGCTACACGCAAAAAAATACTGGAAATTAAAAGTGCTAATTTAATAGTCAATTGGTAAGGTGACGACAATAAAAGTGTAGATTTTAGGGGAGGTCTGGCAGTGCAGCCACCAAAGATATTAAAGAAAGTTGAAACATTGCCCAGAAAAACTCAGTTCAACTGTACTACAGATTTGTTTCGCTAAAAATTAAGGGAGTTAAAATGTTTCCGACAAGTGTGTGCAATTTATTTTGGGGAGTTAAATCTTAAGTTAGCGTGCCTCCCCCCTGCACCCCTCAGGAAATTTGTCCCTTGTTTTATAGTTGTTATCTCACTAATGGCAGGAGGCATGTTAAAGCTGTAATGGAGAAAGTTCTTTTGAAATACTTTTGTTTTCTTGGATAACAGTAAATCACTCTACAAATATGGAATAAAGAACAATTTTTCGTCAAAAGAAAACTTACATCGTCGACAGGGAAACAACTCTTATACTAATTCTTCCTAAGTTAAAATGGGAATAATAGTATATATCAATATATGAGTGATTATTTTACTTTTATTTCAAATTCTTAATAGTTAAATTTTAACGTTGCCAACAAATAACGACACTCATTTTTAAGCAACATTTTTCAAAGATGAAAGTTCAACGTACACCATGTCATGAAGAAATTTATATTGCATACGAATGAACGTAAGTTGTGATCTAAACATGTTTTTGCTCAATAACCACATACCCAGAACAACATACGATGTCTGTGAATTTTAGATAGGTGTGCTAAATATACAATGAAAAATATTAGCTACATGAAAACTTTGCAAAGAACGTGAAATTAGCACGATAATTAATATCTCACTGTTGGTCATATATAAGTAGCTAACGGTTTAAGCTTGTACATAGCTACATAATATCTCTTGTAATTGTTGGCAGTATTGAGCACATGCTCTGTTCTATAGAGAAAAAATCCCAGTCTGCTTTCAAGACATCTATCAACGGACTATGCTGATTTTGTAGAACTCATTTCTTTAGAAAATGTTAAACGTTCGCCACTCCTCAGTTTGTACATTATAAATTTTTTACAAATTTGTTATTTTTACATACCATCTTCAGAATATTCACTGTCTTTGACATAAGATTCAGCAGTCTTTTGTTTATTCGTTTCATTTTAAAATTCTTGAGTAAAGAAATTTCATCTTAAAGAGTTTCCAGCAAGAGAAACATGTGTAAAAGCACAATATTTATACATGTGAAAGACAACAAAAATGTAATTTCTCAAGACAGTGATAATGTGACAAATATTGTATTCATTTGATTTACTAGTTAGAGCAATAATTAGCAATTGGGAATAATAATGTGTAGCTTTGACAAACTATAGAGGAAGATGTGGCACTGGAATTTTTTTTTGCCAGTCATTCTTAAGTGAATTATCTTAAATGAAATTATTTTCATAACTTTGTGGGTGCTTGGTTTATTGTAATATAGTTGTTTATAGTTGAAACAGATGCATCGACATTCCTTCTGTTTTTGAATCATTGGCGCAACTAATTTGATTAGGTCCGCCAGCAACACAGCGTTTTCCTCCGCGTTTCTTATTAAGATTACTAGTAGAATACGCCATGTTGATATACCGTAAATGCTCGAATAAGCGCCCGGGGCGCTTATTTAATTTTTGGAGGCGAGAGGGGGGCGCTAATTCGAAGGGGGGCGCTTATTGGAAGGGGGGCGCTTATTTCATTTTCGGATTTTTGACGTGAAAATGACACTGGTATTTTTATTTCTTGTGACCTTAACTGTAACATAAGTATGAAAATTTTGAAAACGTTAACATTCTAGAAAGCAACATTAACATTTTGTGAAACTTGAAATGTTCTCCAAGCGATTTCCTGGTGCCCGTTAAAGGGCATGTGTATTGTACAATGCGTTTAACATCGTGAAATGTTTTGTATATATAAAGAAAGCCTGCCGTTAATGTTCAGCGGTTGTCTTCAATTTAACACACAATGAAAATAGTACTGACATTGTTTATGCTATATCGCGTCTTTCGCTAACCATTTGATCCTTAATCAATCTCAATTTCTGTATCGCTGTCATCAAGCAATGTTGACACAGGAGCAGCATCTTCAACATCTGATAGCGTGATATCCTGAAAAGGATCATTCTCCAGTGTTTGCTGAAGTTGCTGCTGAACTGCCTTCAGTTGTGCCAGGCCAGAATGACAAGGTTGACTCGGCTTTAAGCAGTGTATCAGCTCATCTTGAGAACCGTCGACAGCAAGTGTCAGCGCACAGCACTTGAAGGAGTTAACAATAATGTCCTTATCCAGATCATTCCATGCTTCAATGATCCACTGGACAATCTCTCGCCTAGGAGGAGCTCGCATGTTCCCTGCTGCAGTAAACGTGTGTTGACCATTTGCCATCCACTCGTCATATCTCTCAGTCACTTTGGCTTTGAATGGTTTGTTCCACGATACATCAGGCGCTTGGATATATTTCGTACACCCCAGGTATAATTACAGGATCTATCTTTGCGCGATTGAGCTCTTGTTTAACGCTGTCTAAGACGTGGCATCTAAAAGAATCCCAAGCCAGCATCCGTCTGGTGAACGAAAACTGGCCCAAGACACTTTTAACCCAAGAAACGGTTAGTTCTCCATTCATCCATCCATTTATCGAGGACGCTACGACACACTTTGTTCTGAATTCCTCATTCAGTGCTTTCGACTCTCTTGGCACCTGGAAAACGATGAACGGCTTTAGTTTGGTACCGTCTCCCTTTGCAGTCAAACACACTGAAACCTTCGTTTTTTCATGGCCAGTTGTTTTCAATCGAATTGTGCTTTCGCCAATGTTGTCGACCGTGGTATTGGATACCATATCTTGCCATACTGCTGTCTCATCCATTGCAATGATATCCCTGTCTTGGTAAGCGATTTTTTTACGTTGCCGGCGAATCTGCAAAACATACGCTATGAGTTTGTCTATCAGTTTCTCGGGGGCCTTTTGTGATTCAGTGGTTTTGCGTCTGATTGCCAAACCATGTCTTGACATGAACCGCTGTAACCAACCGGAACTGGCAAGAAACGATGGTGGCATTTCCTTCTCTTTGCATTTCTCGTTATCGAAAAATTTTGCTTTGCTTGCGATCATTTTTCTGGAAACACGAAGGCCATTGGAACGGCGCTCATGTACCCACTGTAATAATGCTTCTTCTAGGTCTTCATCGAATGGCTTTCGTCCGCCTCCTTCAAGCCGCTTTCTCTTGCTGCTAGTATCTTCCAATTTGCTTTTCTTTTGTCGCCATTCTCTTACTCTCTTGCGGTCGACACCAAACTTTGCTGCGGCTTTTCGGTTACTGTTACACTCTTCGGCAAATTGAACAGCCTTAAGTTTAAATTCGTTAGAATAAGAAGAGTTCTTCAATCCTGCGTGCGATGTAGATGCTAGAGTTATACTTTCGTCCATGATGTCAAAGGTAAGCATGCTGTAATGCGAGAAGGCCGGAAAAGACCTCCCATGAGAAGATCACATTGTATCACGTGCTACCAAACACGTGTGTGACATTCATCTGCTGTTTACAACATGGCGCGTTCAAGCTATACCTTTACTTGGCAAATGGTTTACGAAATAGAATTTGCGTCTGTGATAAGAGGACACCATGTTTATAAAGCTGAATGGTCACCACAGCTTGGAGAACGGCTAGTGTGTCGGAAAGACGATCGAAAGGAGGCTAAAGAGCACGATGAATATGCGATTGGAACATTTATTCAAGACAGTGGCAAGCTGGTTGGACATGCGCCCATTGAACTTTCCTTCCTCGTGTTTACATTTTTACGAGCTCATGAGGATAATGCGGTGGAGGTAAAAGTAACTGGAAAAGAAAACTTGAAAACGGCCTAGTTGTTCCAGGAACTTTTAAAGCAGTAACACGAAGCCGGCGACTGGGAGCAAAGTTTAACGAGGAACTTGATAAAGTAAAGCTCCTATGTGCCCACATGGATATTGAAATCAAGCAAATGAGAAGCAAACCTCTGAAGAACATTGATTTTGAGTTCTAACGAATGTCCGTTACCGATGTAAAAATTAAAATACTGTGTATCGAACTGAGTACCGAAGTTCATCTTTTATCGGGGAAGGGTGGGGGTGGGGGCGCTTATTTGAGAGGACGCTTAGCAAAACCCGTCTTTTCTCGAGGGGGGGCGCTTATTGGAAGGGGGGCGCTTATTTCAAAATTTGAGTCCTAGGGGGGGCGCTAATTCGAAGCGGGGCGCTTATTGGAAGCTGGGCGCTTATTCGAGCATTTACGGTATGTGTTCAACTTTCTACGTCACAACTCATTAGCATACCGATCAAAAAGTTCGCAAAAAAATGCTGAAAATCGTGACTTTGAACGTCCATAAAATCACTTTCACCAATCCAATTTCAATTATAATTGCAGATTTAAAATCACTGAAATAAGGTCTTTCAATTTAGCTAATAAAAAAGGGGGGCTAAAATTCGTGATATAACCCCTTTAACCAATAAAGTAGCTACTGAGATTATGAATCGCTACTTCCATAGATTATAATTGGTAACTTTAAGCAAAGAAAAAGGGATAACTTCAATATCCCAGTTATATCATCACTCAAAGAATGCTTAGTGCAGAGTTGATCTTCTGTGAGTATCAGCTGACCACCTTTAGGTAGGCTCATATAACAATGGGGCTTATAATCATTACATGAAGAAACATCTGACATCAACAAAGAATCCAAACTACAAATGAACATATTTGGCCAAGAATCACCATGACACATGAGTAATGATAAACTAGTAAGAGTAACTGAAGTGAATGTCACAGGTGGTAAAGGGACTTTCACAACTCCATCCATGTGGGATCTACAATATAAGACAATATGAATCAGATATATAGAGGGTGAGCAAGTAACAATATGTTTTCTGTTTGATTATCCAAATAGTGCATTGGAGACAGACACGACAAATTTAGTGTATTTATCATTGCATCTATTCAATAATGTGACATTGAAGAAATAAACCAAAAGTCAATAGCATCAATAAAAAAACATTGAAATTTTCAGAAGAACAATATAGAGATAAATGAAGAAGCAAATAATTATTTATCGTCAGCGTAGTCACTTACATTTAGTTTCCAGCCGTGGGATTTATTTTTATACATGATACCGAAGCAAGTACGTGGGTAAAACATTTCAAAATGGTTTGAAGGCAACACCTTTATTTTGCTTTGCACAATCACAAATCTTTATACTTGTCGTCTACGTGTACAGTCTTGTTCCATCTCATGTGAACAATATCTGCTTTCTACGACGCCTCGTGATTTACATGTGGCAATACTTTAAGTGAATAGTATTTTTATGCATGGTGTTAAGCATGTCATTATATGTATTTGTTCCACATGATTGTGTAACATTCATAGTTCGTACTTGAACAAATTACCAGATATCTATCAAATCTAATTTTTAAAAACAAAACGTATTGTTGCCAAACAAAAGAAATATGCTCTCCCTTCATTGATATACGTAAAATGTAAACGATAATTGACCATTTTTCTGTGATATTACGCAAATCCTGAATTAGTTAAAGTTATTCAGCCTATTAAACAACACAATTACATCGTTTTGGGCATTAAGATGTTGGTGACGTCAACCAAAACATCCTTAAACCCTCTCCATTAAAGAAATGTTAACAACGGAAAATTACACACTTAAGGGGCTAATCGTGATTCAATGAGTCGTTAAATTATTTCGACGCATTGAAAGGGTGAATGGGCGTCTCGAGTCGATTTATCTGATGATAAGTATAGAATCGTTTTAGAATTGTATTGAATAGAATTTTGTCATTACTTTGTGTTGATGCTTGGTTTACTGTAATAGTTGTTTTATGTTTGAAAAACATGTCCCAACAACTGTAGGATCAAGTTGCAAAAAATTTTAATAAGATCATTATGTAAGAAAAAAACATGACTGAAAACATGTTTTTTGGAGAGGACATTTTGCTGCGTAGCGGTTATTGATTGATGATTGGGGGGGGGGAGGCACTAATATTAATATACCGTATACAAGTTTTACTATGTTAGTTATTTAAATTCTTTTGAAATCCATAGTGATTAAGGATTATACAATATGAATAATGACAATAAACTAATAAAAAAAAGGTTGACTTTTTTGTGCCTTTTGATTCCTACA